GATTCGGCTATCTCTGTTCGTGCGGTCGGTCACTTTATTCCCTCCATACTTTCCCGAACCCCTGGTCTGATCTGGGTGATTTTTGGATATGTTGGTCACCCAGATCAGGGCTACCAGGGGATGTATGATTTAAAGGGGTACCCCTACGTTTAGGGGTACATCCAGAAACGGGGGGAATTGGTGTGCTGGATAAGGGGATTATGATGCTGGCTGAGGGGAGGGGATGTGTGGGAGGTTACCAGGACAGGATTGGCTACTGTAATAATTACTGTAAATCCCTCCCTTGCATGGGAGCATGCTTTATAAGGAGACTGTGATTAAAGGCTTGTCAGTTCTGCTCCTGAAACTGTGTGTCGTCCAGTTATTGGGATTGCTGTGGGGATATTGCCGTTGTTTTACCTGCTGGAAACTTTGCCTATGGATTTATTATTTACTTGTTCCTGAGCCTCACTTGGATTATAAGCGGAGATAACCTGGGGAATATTGCATCTCCGCTACATTGGTTGGCAGCGGTGGGATCCAGACTCACAAGGGAACAAGTACTAATGGAATACGGATGGAGAGTGATTATGCCAAGCTTAAAAGATCCACGCTAAAAGACCTCCTGGAAGCGAAAGGTATTGCAGCTAGCAACAAAAAGAAAGCAATCCTCATTGCAGAAGTGATGGCTGAATACCAGCAGGAGGACAGGGTAATCCCTGAGCCAGGGCCGGACTGGGAAAAAAATTCAGCCCGGGCATTTTTTTATCACAGCGGCCCACTAAGAAGGGGGCGGGGCAGAGAGGGTGTGTTTTGTCATCACTCATGACAAACACGCTCCCTCTCAAAGTGAGCATGTTGGTTCAATGCTCTTCCAGGGCAGACCATGCGCAGAGCTCTGCTGAAGAGCTCTAGCATGAGAAAAAAGCCCTGTATTTGTTCTGCACAGTGCAAGCAAATTTAATAACATGCTTGCACTGTTTCCTTGCAACTTGTCTCTGGTGTCTCTATAAATGGATACCAGGAGACAAAAGGGCCAGGAAAGAGTATTGTGCATGTGTTTGGAGCCTGTTTGTGGTATTACGTTTGTGCAGAGTGAGCTGGTCATGGTGTGGTATTGTGTAATAAGGTCTGTTTTAGTGTGTGTGAGTGCTGAGTGTGATAGTGCTGTGTATGATGTGTGATGTGTGTGAGACTGATGTGTGAGAGTGCTGTGTGTGAGTGTTGTGTGTTATGTGTGTGAGTGCTGAGTGTGATAGTGCTGTGTATGAGTGTTGAGTGTGATGGTGCTGTGTATGATGTGTGTGAGTGCTGAGTGTGATGTGTGTGAGAGTGATGTGCTGAGTGCTGAGTGCTGTGTGTGAGAGTGTTGTGTGATGTGTGTGAGAGTGCTGAGTGTGAAAGTGCTGTGTGTGAAAGTGCTGTGTGTGAAAGTGCTATGATGTGTGTGAGAGTGCTGCGATGTGTGAGATTGCTGTGTATGATGTGTGTGAGAGTGCTATGATGTGTGTGAGAGTGCTATGATGTGTGTGAGAGTGCTGCGATGTGTGAGATTGCTGTGTATGATGTGTGTGAGAGTGCTATGATGTGTGTGAGAGTGCTATGATGTGTGTGAGAGTGCTGTGTGTGAGAGTGCTATGATGTGTGTGAGAGTGCTGCGTGTGATGTGTGTGAGAGTGCTATGATGTGTGAGAGTGCTGTGATGTGTGAGAGTGTTGTGTGTGAGAGTGTTGTGTGTGAGAGTGTTGTGTGTGAGAGTGTTGTGTGTTGTGAGTGCTGGGTGTGATAGTGCTGTGTGTGATGTGTGTGAGAGTGCTGCGTGTGATGTGTGTGAGAGTGCTGAGTGTGAAAGTGCTGTGTGTGAGAGTGCTATGATGTGTGTGAAAGTGCTATGATGTGTGTGAGAGTGCTGCGTGTGATGTGTGTGAGAGTGCTGAGTGTGAAAGTGCTGTGTGTGAGAGTGCTATGATGTGTGTGAGAGTGCTGTGTGTGAAAGTGCTATGATGTGTGTGAAAGTGCTATGATGTGTGTGAGAGTGCTATGATGTGTGTGAGAGTGCTGGGTGTGATGTGTGTGAGAGTGTTGTGTGAGTGCTGAGAATGCTGAGTGTGATAGTGCTGTGTATAAATGTTGTGTGTTGGGGGGTAAATAAACAAATAAAAAATTAAGTGGGGGTAAATATATAAAAAAAATAAATAAAAACTAAGCAAAAAAAAAAACTAAACCCCCCCCCTCCCTTCTTACCTTTAGCCTGGGAGGGGGGGACAGGCACGTGGTAGCTGGGAGGGGGGGCACCGGCACTCACACACCATCCCTGGTGGTCCAGTGGTGAGTGAACTGTCTCGCGAGATCGGGGCGTTGCCATGGCAACGCTCCGGATCTCGCGAGAGAAACCCGGCGGAGCTGCAAGACAGAGCTCCGCCGGGTCCTCTCCCTCCCTCCCCAGCCGCAGGTCTATTTAAATGGGCCGGTGAGGGAGATCTTTGATCTCCCCACCGGCCCTCCATGGAAGACAGCGGGGCCGGCGCTCGGATAGTGCCGGCCCTGCATAGACAGGCAGGGGAGATCCTGGGACCTCCCCTGCCGGCCTCGGCCCCACGGACACCGCGGCCCACCGGGCATTTGCCCGGTGTGCCCGATGGCCAGTCCGGGCCTGCCCTGAGCAGCAGAGTGCAGCAGAGGGAGCTGAAAAAGAAGAGTTCCGGAGAGAAGTGCAGTTCAGGCTATCCTTTTATGGAGAGAATCCAACAACAGATATTATATCCAGGACAATGACAGAGGTACAGGAGTTTATACTGCGTCAAAGGCCACTACAACAGCTGGAGAGGAATGCTACCACAACTACCATCACACAGGGTAAGACAAAAATTCCTTACCAAGCCTTTAAAACATATATAGAAGCAGAGGAAGATATAGATGCTTTTCTCCAAGACTTTGAAAGGCTGTGTGCATTGCATAGTATTAGCCCAGACGAGTGGGTGCCTATTTTAGCAGGGAAGCTCACAGGGAAGGCGGCTGAAGCCTATAGAACTGTACCTGATGAGGAGATTCGGAATTACCGCAGGGTAAAAGAAGTGATCCTGGCCCGATATGCAATCACACCAGAGGCATATCGGCGGCGGTTTAGAGACCTAAAGAGAAATGATAAGGACTCTCATGTGGAATGGGCTTGCAAGTTGCATCGGGCCGCTCTGGGGTGGGTACAGTCCAATAAGGCTCGGTTCATGGAGGACTTGTTACAAATGGTGTTGCTGGAGCAATTTTATGAGGGGGTAACCAGCGATGTCCAGGAATGGGTGAGGGACAGAAATCCTACCTCCCTTACCGAAGCTGCCAGGAAGGCAGATGAGTACTTGGATGCACGCAGGCAGCAGAAACCTGCAGCCCCAAAAACCAGTTTTAAAACTTTTGGGGGAAACAGCTACAACCCAGCTCCACCCAGGCAACTGCCACCACCACCACCCGCTGCACAGCCACGTTTTCGCCAGCCCGCCTCCGGCCCCTGTCATCACTGCCAGAAGTGGGGACATTATAAAAGGGAATGTCCCCAGCTGAGGGATCGTTCAACCTGGAATCTCCCACCGGCCCACCACCACCACCAAGAGCAGCCGCAGCCCACCACTACCAGGATATAGTGGCCACACCATATGGTTCAGCAGTTCCCATAACAACCGTGGAACAGTGGGAAGTACTGCACGAGGCGGATCCAGTCCAGGCCAATGCGGATAACAGACAGCACCACAGGCAGACCGTATACCTGGAAGGTAAAGCAGTACAGGGACTACGTGATTCGGGGGCTACTATCACCTTGGTAAAGAGTCACCTGGTGTCGGATCAAGCGAGACTAAGTAAAACTGTGGCCGTCAGGGTAGCCGGGGGAGCAGTGTACCGGCTACCTACAGCAAGGGTACATTTACATTGGGGGGCGGGGGCAGGACATGTGGAGGTGGGGTTGATGCCGCAGTTACCGGCGGAGGTTTTATTGGGGAACGATCTGGGGAGGCTCACATCTGCTTTTGAGCCCCAGACGTCCACCACAGGGGAAGCTCACCCTGTGGTCACCCGTCAACAGGCCCGCACCCAGGACTACAACACACCTCCGGAGGTTCAGGTACGAGACTCTTCCCCTTCCCTTGACTGTGTCCCCTGGGCCCCTCCTAACGAATTTGCAGCAGAGGTAGTGACTGACCCCACCTTGCAGGTATACAGGGACAAGGTGACAGCAGACCCTCCTGGGGGAGAGGGGGAGAGATTTGTCTGGGACAAACAGCTTTTGTACAGGGAGACAGACAAGCAGATTGAGGGGTCAGACCCAATAGTGATGAGGCAGCTAGTGGTGCCGCAGCGGTACCGAGCAGAGCTACTCCGGATAGCGCACGATATCCCGCAATCCGGACATCTAGGGGTCAGCCGCACTAGGTACCGACTGACCCAAAGTTTCTTCTGGCCAGGGATCAGCCAGGAAGTGCGCAGGTATTGCACCACCTGCGATACCTGCCAGAGGGTAGGGAAAAGGGGAGACCGGAGGAAGGCGAAACTACACCCCTTGCCAATAATTGAGGAGCCTTTTAGCAGAATAGCGGTAGACTTGATAGGTCCCCTCAAGAAAGCTAGCCCGTCAGGCAAAAGGTACATTTTAACGGTAGTAGACTATGCTACCAGATATCCAGAGGCAGTGGCTCTGACCAACATTCATGCTGAAACGGTCGCGGATGCCCTCATGCAGATATTCTCCCGGTTGGGATTACCCAGGGAGATTATCTCGGATCAGGGTACCCAATTTACCGCAGAATTCACCCAACACCTCTGGAGGATCTGTGGCATTAAGCCTATTATCAGTGCCCCTTACCACCCCCAGACTAATGGGCTCTGCGAACGGTTCAATGGCACATTGAAACAAATGCTCCGAACCTTCGCAGAGACCCACAAGGACTGGGAGCGGTTCCTGCCACATCTCCTATTCGCTTACCGGGAGGTGCCGCAGGAATCCACGGGGTTCTCCCCGTTTGAACTGCTGTTTGGGAGGAGGGTCAGAGGCCCCTTAGATCTTATAAGAGAGCATTGGGAGGGAGACCGGAGCGCAGATGGCACCCCCATCATACCATATGTGTTGGCTCTCCGAGACCGCCTGGAAGCCTTAACCAGGACGGTAAGGGAAAACCTTCAGGCGGCACAGACCCACCAGCGCACATGGTATGACCGGGGAGCCAGGGACCGTAGCTTTCAGGTCGGGCAGAAAGTGCTAATTTTAAAGCCTGTCCAACATGACAAGCTACAGGCCGCCTGGCAGGGACCTTATAGGGTGGTGGAACAGAGATGTGACACCACCTATATAATTGGCCCCTGTACAGGGACGGGAGGGCGAAGCATGCTCCATGTGAACATGATGAAGCCCTACCAAGAGCGCTCCGAGGAGGTAACCGCCATATGTGCGCCCAATTCTGATGATTTTGACAGCTTACCACTCCCAGATCTGCTGGAAGATGGGCAGTTGTCTGGGGATTTAGGGGAAGTCACACTGGGAGACCGGCTGAGCCCACAGGAGCGCATCGAGGTACAGCAGCTGTTGGAGGAGAAACGAGACACGTTCTCTAATGTACCTGGGTACACCCCTCTGGCCACTCACCGGGTAGAGACCCCAGGGCAACTACCGATGCGCCAGACCCCCTACCGTATCCCAGAAGCGGTAAGTGAAAACATGCGCAAGGAGATCGATGAGATGCTCCAACTGGGGGTGATTGAGCCCTCAGATAGTCCCTGGGCTTCTCCGGTAGTACTCGTACCGAAGCGGGACGGTACGACCCGCTTCTGCGTAGACTACCGGAGATTAAACGAGAAAACAGTGTCCGATGCATACCCTATGCCACGGATAGATGAGCTACTGGACAGAATGGCCAGGGGTCAATACCTCACTACCATTGACTTATGTAAGGGGTATTGGCAAATCCCCCTGGCCCCAGAGGCCATCCCGAAGTCGGCCTTTGTCACCCCATTTGGCTTGTACCAGTTTAAGGTCATGCCATTTGGGATGAAAAACGCCCCAGCTACTTTCCAGCGGATGGTAGACCGACTCCTGGATGGGTTCCAAGACTACACCTGTGCCTACCTGGACGATATTGCCATTTTTAGCAATACGTGGCAGGAGCACTTGGCCCATATAGGAGCGGTTCTAGACAGGATTAAGGAAGCTGGTTTGACATTGAAACCGGCCAAGTGCAGCATAGGGATGGCCGAGGTGCAGTACCTCGGACATAGAGTGGGTTGCGGCAAACAGAAGCCCGAACCAGCCAAAGTAGAAGCCGTGGCCCAGTGGCCCACTCCTAGGACTAAAACCCAGGTATTAGCTTTTCTAGGGACCGCTGGGTATTACAGAAAGTTTGTCCCTAACTATAGCGACTTTTGACTTTAATATTCAGTACCGCCCGGGTAAACAGAATGGGAATGCCGACGGGTTGTCGAGACAAACTGACCTGGAAAAATGATCTGTGAGTCCCCGGACATCCCCAAGCCGATCCGTGTTGGATCAGACTGTGTATGCCGGCTTGTGGGCAAGGGGGAGCAGTGTAGCGGATGGCACTGGGCTGTCCTGCAAATGTCCTTGAAATAATTGCATTCGTGTGATCTGCTAGTTTTCTATGTGTTTTAAAGCCTTGTATTCTTTTGATTGTTCGGTAGTTTCATTCCCTTAGTTTATTCGAATGAAACTACCGAACAACCAGACCTCCCCTGTGTAAAGTGTGTCCTCAATTACCCGTTGCAACATTGTTGCGAACGGGTAATTGACTAGGAAGTAGCCGTCCTTTGTTCTCGGGGGTGGCCGCCATTCGACAAACGAACACGTGGCGGCGGCCATTTTAAAACTCCCGAACAGCGGTGTTTTGCCGTCGAGTGTCTGGAACTAAAATCGGACACTCGAGTAGGCGAACACCGCTGAGACCTCCACAGCCCTGGTCCGTTCGGGTCCAAACTACCGAACGGCCCCTCGTTCGGTAGATAGAAAATACCGAACGAGGGGATTCAGGCGAACCCTCCCTAGCCTCTATAGCTAGAGGTTTTCGTGTATTCTATTCCCTTATGCCAGGACCGACCGCAGGGCCCATTCACATGGAACCGGATTCGGCTATCTCTGTTCGTGCGGTCGGTCACTTTATTCCCTCCATACTTTTCCCGAACCCCTGGTCTGATCTGGGCGATTTTTGGATATGTTGGTCACCCAGATCAGGGCCACCAGGGGATGTATGATTTAAAGGGGTACATCCAGAAACGGGGGGAATTGGTGTGCTGGATAAGGGGATTATGATGCTGGCTGAGGGGAGGGGATGTGTGGGAGGTTACCAGGACAGGATTGGCTACTGTAATAATTACTGTAAATCCCTCCCTTGCATGGGAGCATGCTTTATAAGGAGACTGTGATTAAAGGCTTGTCAGTTCTGCTCCTGAAACTGTGTGTCGTCCAGTTATTGGGATTGCTGTGGGGATATTGCCGTTGTTTTACCTGCTGGAAACTTTGCCTATGGATTTATTATTTACTTGTTCCTGAGCCTCACTTGGATTATAAGCGGAGATAACCTGGGGAATATTGCATCTCCGCTACACAGGCACAGCTACTGCAGAACACCAATCTGCCAAACAGGAAACCATACAAATGCTGTAAACAGCCGAATAGGAAAACCATACGAATAGGTTTACACTCCTAGCAGTCAAACTCCAACAGCATACAGTATATCCCCCCAAGAACGAGACAAAGCTCCATGTTGAGGGTCAAGCAGTGAACAGACAGAGCTGTGGGTTTATTGTTCTTATATACACATTAGTACCACCCACAGGGTTTTGGAACACAACCAATAAACACATACAATACACTCAGACACTCCCACACAAAATCCTCCCCTCTGCCTGTGATACAATTACCTTACACAATGGGTAATGTAATTGTAACAAGCAGAGAAATGCAATTTTTCCACATTATTCATAACTTGAAAAGTATGCATCATATTCACATAAACTTACATTTTCAGAATCAGCCTACTCCTATTACAAACGTACGTCAAAATCATACAAATTTGTCCAGTGGTTCAAAAGATAGATCATAGTCCTTTGTGACCAAAGGAAGCATGGCTTTTCTGCCCAAAACCAGTTCCACATTGTTATTTACATATATATATTCATATTATATCATTATTCTTACTGTCATAGAGTCAGATTTATCAATAATAAAAAACATTTAAAAAGCATCAGTAAAGCATATGTCGCTGCTAACAATAAATAATTATTTCTATACTTTGTGAATAGACAGCTGATAAATAAACTACAGCTCTCAGATCCACCTGGGTTATATGGCCATAGACATATGGATTCAACTCAGCACTTGCTATAGAAAGTCATTAACTGATCATTTCCTGGTTTGGGCACTAGTCACAGGAGGCCTGTGGATTTGTTACAAATGCTGCAACTTCATAAGTGAATATATTTTTATCTTTTGCAATAACTGTTTTAACTGCAGTAAATAAGAGTGTTTGATCCTAACTTAGAAGTCCCCTTTAAAAAAATTACAACTATTTGAGGCAGAATCTCCAATGTTAGTCACCAAAACAACTTTAGCTTAATGAAGCAGTTTTGGTGTATAGATCATACCCCTGCAGTATCACTGCTCAATTCTCGGCCATTTAGGAGTTAAATCACTTTGTTTATGAACCCTACTCACACCTCCCTGCATGTGACTTGCACAGCCTTCCTAAACATTTCCTGTAAAGAGTCATTTAATGTATATCCTTCCTTTATTACAAGTTCTGTTTAATTTAGATTTTCTTATCCTCTGCTATGTTAACAGCTTGCTAGACCCTGCAAGAGCCTCCTGTATGTGATTCAAGTTCAATTTACAGAGCAAGAGATAAAATTATTTAAGATATACATTTGATTGAAAGTGAAAACAGTTTTTGTTTGTGCCGGCTGTGTCAATCATAGCCAGGGGAGGTGTGGCAAGGGCTGCATAAACAGAAACAAGGTGATTTAACTCCTACATGGCAGAGAATTGAGCAGTGAAACCTGAGATGCATGATCTATACACTAAAACTGCTTCATTAAGCTAAAGTTGTTTAGGTGACTAAAGTGTTCCTTTAAATAAATTAATCCATTTCATAAATGTCCGTTGTAAATAATTTTGTTTGCTCTCTGTTAAGAAGTGATAAATGTGTTAATGAAAACCTCCTCTTCGTCGAGAGTCAACTGTTGGGCTACAGTCAATGGAATGTCAACATTTCCTTGATGAATGCTTGTATGGTTTTTTTCTGCCTGGCATGACTATATGCCCATTCCAGTATCAAAAATTGCACTCAATCAGTCACAGTGCACCGAGAAGATTCCATATGTCAATAGACATGTTCAGACCTGTTTACATGTGCTGCCATGTTATGGGCAGCATATCATTTTAGACTCATATTTAACATCATTGTTATACTGTACAATAATTTATTTAGACAGAATAACAACTCTATTTTTGTAAGTACAGATGTGGTAATAAGACAAAAGGGGTATACATTTTGCATTTAAGAATACAGTTCTTTTTTAACCCCTTCCCGACCCAGGACGGTTCAGGACCGTCATCGGCATTTTTGCCTTGCCGACCGATGACGGTCCTGAACCGTCCTAACGGTCTGAGCTACTTACCTGATCGCCGTCGTTCCCCCGGCAGCGATCAGCGTGGCTCCGGTTGTGGGGAGACTGCCTGCAGCCCAGACAGTCTCCCCACAATGAACATAGCGATTACATGGTCACAATAGGTGTCAATGTGTCTACCTGCAAGGGGACTGCCTGTGCTGACAGGCAGTCTCCCTGCTAGTGTAAAATCAATTAAAAAAAATAAAGTTAATGTTAATAAAAAAAATAATAATAATTATATATGTGTATATATGATATATAGACATATATTATATATATATATATATAATATGTCTATATATCATATATATATAATGTCATACTAAGTGTATTTTTATATTAATATGTACTTATATTAATATAAAAATACACTTATAATTAAATTACACACGTATATATATAATATATATAATAACTATATATATTGTATATATATATTATTCTAAAATATAAATAATAAGTAATTTAAATTAAATAATTTTTTTTTAAATAATAATAAAAATTTAAAAAAAATTATATATCTATATGAAATTTTATTCTAACTGTATTTTAAAATTAATATATATATATATTTATATCAAAATACACTTAGAATGAATTTGTATATATATCTATGTATATAAAAATAAATAAAAATAATAAGAAATATACATATGTCCATATACAAAATTACATAAATAATTATATAAATATACACGTAGACTTCAAATATATAAATATGCATATATATTTAAATTCTACGTGTGTATTTATGTAATATTTTTACATAATTCAGTAATTTTATTGATTGCAATTTGAGGGACCTGCCTGCCAACCCAGGCCGAAATTCCAGAGAATTTAATTTGCTAGCACTGTATTTTACCCTGTAATGTTCTACGACACCCTAAAACCTGTACATGGGGGGTACTGTTTTACTCGGGAGACTTCGCTGAACACAAATATTAGTGATTCAAAACAGTAAAACATATCACAGCGATGATATTGTCAGTGAAAGTTACTTTTTTTGCATTTTTCACACACAAACAGCACTTTTACTGATGATATAATTGTTGTGATATGTTTTCCAGTTTTTAAACACTAATATTTGTGTTCAGCGATGTCTCCCGAGTAAAACAGTACCCCATGTACAGGTTTTTATAGCATTTTTGAAAGTTACAGGGTCAAATATATGGGTCAAATATTTTTTACATTGAAAATGGCCAGGTTGGTTACGTTGCCTTTGAGAGCGTATGGTAGCCCAGGAATGAGAATTACCCCCATGATGGCATACCATTTGCAAAAGAAGACAACCCAAGGTATTGCAAATGGGGTATGTCCAGTCTTTTTTAGTAACCACTTGGTCACAAACACTGGCCAAAATTAGCGTTCAATTTAGTTTTTTTACTTTTTTCACACACAAACAAATATGAATGCTTACTTTGGCCAGTGTTTTCGACTAAGTGGCTACTAAAAAAGACTGGACATACCCCATATTGAATACCCTGGGTTGTCTACTTTAAAAAAAATATGTACATGTGGGGTGTTATTCAGAGATTTATGACAGATAATAGTGTTACAATGTCACTATTGATAAATTTTAAAATGTATGTTTTGAAACCGCAATATCCTACTTGTACCTATAGCCCTATAACATGCAAAAAAAAGCAAAAAAGCACGTAAACACTAGGTATTTTTAAACTCAGGACAAAATTTTGAATCTATTTAGCAGTTTTTTTCATTCGCTTTTGTAGATGAGTAAAAGATTTTTCAAGTAAAAGTCAAAAAACATGTATTTTTTTCAATTTTTCATCAGATTTTTTTATTTTTTTTAAATTAAAATACATGAGATTATATAAATAATGGTATGTAAAGAAAGCCCCTTTTGTCCTGAAAAAAACAATATATAATTTGTATGGGAACAGTAAATGAGAAAGCGAAAAATTACAGCCAAACACAAACACCACAAAAGTGTAAAAATATGCCTGGTCGCAAATATACAACATCGCAAAAACAGTCCAGTCCTTAAGGGGTTAATGCATTCTGAAAAAAAATGATGTTTAGTGTATTTATTTCAACAGGCAGATTATGTTTAAGAATCCCCTTGGTCTGTGGACTATAGTCTCAGGTAGAACTTGGACATGAATATACTAGTCTACCAGAGATTGCAGGGAATTAAACTGCGCCTGCGGCCATTTGATAGCAGCTGAAATAACTATCACCCACAACTGTAACTCCTACTATTCTCAGGCAGCACCATACATGTATGCTCAAGTGCTGTCCTTACAATTAACCTCTACATTACTCTAACTTATTAACCCCTACACTACCTCAACACAAAGCATTGGCCTCTATACAGTGGCGTACATACCACGCTCGTCACTCCAGCAAGCCCGGCCGCCCTGCAGACCCCTGTGACCGGGTGCCAGCCGCCATAAGTTGCAGCCCCGGCTGCACAGTATAAATGCCGGGGCCGCACGTGAAGGGGCCCATAGAGTGGCCCATGCTGTTAGGTCCACCCGATTGAAATGAATATCATCATCAGAGGAGTCTCGGTAACAGTGCAACCGGGACCCCTATTATGATGTCAGACGCTGTGATGAAGTGACTGCCCCGGAGACCGGGTGCCACGTGGGAGGAAGGAGAGGGAGTCACAGTGGAAACTCTGACTCCCATCAACCTGAGCCACTGGACTCCTGGGAAGTTACCCTCCTGCACCTAAAAAGTAGGTATGTGACAGAACCGTCTGTCTTTGGATTATGTTTCTCCTCCCTCCATTCGTCTGTTTATTCGGTTATTTCTTTACCCGTACAGCCCCCTAGTTTCCCCGCTTTGTTTCCTGAATGACTACTATGAATGATTACACGACCACCGGGAAGCTGGAGTGTGCCTTCAATCTACCTCACTGAAGCTAGCGTGTGCCGGCAATTGACCACCTAGTATCTGCGGTTAACCGCAGCTTAATTGACTGTTACTGGGTGGTCGCGGTTACACTTAGCCGCCACACGATGGCGGTGTTATGGAGCTCCCCGGGCAGCCAACGTTGTTCTGCCCAGTCTCAGTACACCAAAAGCGGACACTTTTCCTTTCAAGCACCGCTGAGCTACCAGCTTACGGGTCTTCAGTAGTGATGTCGCGAACCGTTCGCGAACTTGCCGCGAACGGTTCGCCACGAACCGTTCGCGGCGAACTCTGGTCAGCTGACACATCCCTGCCAATCTCCGGCAGACCCTCCCTCCCAGACCCTCCTACTTCCGGGACAGCATCCATGTGGAAGGCAGCTTCAACATGGATGCTATTCAGGAGGTGGGAGGGTCTGGGAGGGAGGGTCTGCCGGAGATTGGCAGGGATGTGTCAGCTGATCGGAGTTCGCCACGAATGGTTCGTGGTGAACCGTGGCGAACCGTTCACGGCAAGTTCGCGAACGGTTCGCGACATCACTAGTCTTCAGCTCCGTTTGTGAACCGAACGGCGGAGCATTCGGGACTTTGTGTTTTATGGTGTATTCTATGTGAAAGTACCCAGATAGCTATGCCATGGAGCATGTTCGTGAAATTAAAGACTTTTGGCTCCATGGCGATTACACTGTATTCGTGTTGTCTGAGCACCATTCACCTAATAATGTATGCTCAGACCTGAGCTATCTGTGGGTATGTTACATGTCTATATTTATTGTAACAGTTTTAACACTTTCTATTTTAACAGTAATGTCTATCCTGTTGTCCCCACGTGCATAATGGTGATTTGTCTTTGTCCTGGGAGATAATTGAATTACTTCTCAATTATCTCCAGGGCAGAGAGGATGAAGCCAGGATGCATTGTGGGGATGTATTGTGACTGTATGTCCTGATCTGATACCTGTCTGTCCTTTGTTACAGTCTCCCATTTGCTCCCCGAGGGGAGTGTCCACCAAGTGGGAGACCTGCATAAATACGGACAGGTAGCCCTCATTAAAGCATATCTTGTTTTACCCTCAATACGGAGCTTAGTCTTGTGACTGGGGGGATTTACTATATGCGGCTAGAGACTGATTGCTGGGAACGTAAGCCGCTTGGATGCTATATCGGTTCGTCTGTTAGCAGCGATTCGTGGGGTTACTGTTCGGGGGTTTGGGGTGTTACTAAGTATTCTGTTCGGGAGATAGGCACATTCCCCTGGTTCCAGTTCTGGAGTTTGGGCTCTAAAGTAGTCGTGCCTGTATCTCTGCAAAGGGGAAGCTCTACTAAACGTTGAGTTCACTCTTTTATGCCGAAAGTGTCTTAACAAGGTAATAGGAGGGTGACTAAAATATTTTGCATGTGTGTGTGTATGTGTGTCTGTATGTATGTGTCTGTGTGAGTGTCTATGTATGTGTGTCTGTATAAATGTGTGTCTGTGTGTGTGTGTCTATGTATGTGTCTGTATGTATATGTGTGTGTGTCTGTATGTATCTGTGTGTATGTGTCTGTATGTATATGTGTGTGTGTCTGTATGTATCTGTGTGTGTGTGTGCGGGTGTGTATGTGTTTGTGTGTCTTTATGTATGTGTGTGTGTATGTATGTTTGTATGTATGTGTGTCTATGTATTTATGTATGTGTCTGTGTGTATCTATGTACGTGTGTCTGTGTCTGTCTGTGTGTGTCTATGTATGTGTCTGTATGTATCTGCGTGTATGTGTCTGTCTGTATGTATGTGTCTGTGTGTGTCTCTGTGTGTCTGTATGTATATGTGTGTGTGTGTGTCTGTATGTATGTATGTCTGTGTGTGTGTGTGTCTCTAGGTATATGTGTTTGTGTGTCTGTCTATGTGTGTGTCTGTGTATGTGTCTGTATGTTCCTGTGTGTATGTGTGTGTCTGTATGTATGTGCCTGCCTGTATGTATATATATATATATATATATATATATGTATGTGTCTGTATGTATGTGTGTGTGTCTGTATGTATTGAAAGAATCAGTGATCCCGAACTAACATAGCAACAGGAGCACTGTGCAAGGAAGTACTGCAGAATTATGCTGTCTAAAATGAAATCCTTCAAATAACTTTATTAAGGGTATCTACTGTGGAAGTATGATCCCAGAAAAAACGAAGAAGATAGAAAGTCTAAATAAAACTTAATGCACCATAAAAACTAGAAAAATAAACCTAAACAGAAGGAGAGATGAACTCTATCTAGAACTAGAGTTGGTAGGGCTGGAAAAGGTGGAGACCTATAGTAAGAATAAGTCTCAAAAGCAGCCTATGAGGAGAAAAAATGTCCTCAGTGTGTATAGATAATCTCTGAACGAAGAAAACAGAAACAGAGAGTGGAGAAAACACTGTAGCCTAGTGTATACATAAATAAGATAGAGGAATGAGACAGAATAAGACTGTGTCTATCAGGTATGCTAATAGGAGGTATAGATATTGCTATAGTATCGGTGTGGATACATCGATACAATGTGACCCCTCTAATGAAGACAGACCTGTGACAACAGAATGTGCAGTAATCGCCTTTGAACCCGGCTTGGTAACTGCTGTCTGTACTGAATAGACCTCTATAGCAATCTCCACTGATCCTGTAAATGAAAGAGAAATTCTACACTTCCAATCTGCCGCTATCTTCCAGAGCTACTACCAATTAACAAAACCATAATCTAGAATAGTAGTCCATGCCTCCCACCCTGTGGTCACATCTACGTGGTGATAAGTACTTCCTTGCACAGTGCTCCTGTTGCTATGTTAGTTCGGGATCACTGATTCTTTCAGTACTATTGTATATATACAAGGGTTACCCCCTATTCAAGTCTGCTTTCACACTCAAGTTGGGATTTCTGCACTTAGGTGCTCTCCCTTCTTTTTCTTTTTTTGTGTCTGTATGTATGTATGTGTCTCTGTATGTATGTATGTATGTGTGTCTGTGTGTGTCTGTGTGGGGTGGTGGTGGGGAAGGAATGGAGGGTGTGGAGGAATGTGGGGGGGCCATGGATTGTGTGTACGCCACTGCCTCTACACTACGCCATACACCAGAGGTCAGCAACCTATTGCACATGTGCCATGCATGGCACTCAAGGCTGCCAGAGCCAAACAGACCTATCAGGAATCCCTGTGGGACCTCAGATATCTGTTTGTGCTGTCTGCATGTGGTGAGGGCAATCCTCAAATTCTGCATTCCAGTTCCTAGAAGAAGGGACCTCAGATCACATGAAGAGGAATCACACTGGAGTAGAGCAGCCTGCAGCAGGTATCACAGCTCCTGACCTTAACCTTTACCTGACCAGCTTGGTCCATGCTATCCATGCTAGATATACACAGAGCTGCAGAATAACACAACACTACTGACAATCCACATACACACAGACAACCCCACAACAATCACACACATACATCACCAAACACACACTGAGCCAAATCATCTACACACACAATACCACAAGCAGCCCCAATACAGAGCCCACATTCATAGGTATCATACACAATACAACACATGAACATATACAAAATAACAGCCCACGTAGGCACAAATACAATGCTACAAAGCAACTGCAGCACCAATAAATTACACAAGCAAAATATGGCAACATACACACCTCAATTTAAAAAAAAATACCAACACACCAAGGGACTTCAAGACCTTGTTTTGGCACAGTACTACTAAGAGGTTGCCTACTCCTGACCTACACTATACTAAAATTAACAATCCCTAACACCACTGCAGCCCTGTAGACTAACCATTAACATCTACATTGCCTTAACACCTGCACTAACACTAACCTAAAAAGATAATGTTGTATGACAGATACATAATGAAAAAGCATGTATCAGAGGAAAGTAATGCCGTACCACCTACATAGAGATTGTTGCAGACTACGTACCTCACTTCATGGCATTGGTGTTCTCTGATGGCAGTGGCCTCTTTCAGGAGCATAATGTACCCTGCAGATAGATTTAATGTTGTGGCTCATTAGTGTATAAATGCTAGTTTTCCAAAATGGCATTAGAATACCATAATACATGGTTGAATGTGTCTCTATTTATATATATATATATTGTATAACGGAGCTCCAGTACTCCGACCGAGTACCTCTGCCAAGTCTGCTTCCTTGTAGCTATCAGGGACCCTGGAACACTTCAGACCCAGATGCCGAGGCTTGACTGGGATCACTTGGGGCCTTTTCCACCCTGGACCAAACACCAAATGGCACTTGGTATAGGTTAAACAGCAACTCTTTAATGAATACGGCACACATAGTTTAAGCCCCCAACAGTCTCATTTACATACAATAGGTTGATAAGGGTGGAGTCGGACAATAGCAAGGGCTTATGGCAGATTGAGGAGGGATAGAGCAGATTGAGGAGGGACAATGCCCTGCTGGGGAAGCAATAGGACAGGAAAAAGGGGGAGGGGGAGATGCACAGACCAGCAATACATTCAACATACCCTGCACAAATAATATGCACAGTGTGACAAAACACAAAAGGAATTTGGGAGCCCACCCAGAGTGTTTGTCTTCCATCCCCAGTGATGGTGACTACCGTCACATATTGTATATCAGATTAACCAACCTTTAAGTGCAGCACGTGCAATGCATACAGTAGTGTTAAGAGGTTTTCAAGAATAAGTTCAAGAATGATAATTTTCACTGGCTCCCACTAATTAAAACTGGGGGATGGATAATGTGTAGCAACATGTTGCAGTGTTGCAATGAGCTTAATAACAAATTGATCCTTTGAGTATTTATTAACTAATCCATGTGTGCATATGCTGTTATTGCAATCCTTTATTTAATTTGTGGATGTTTTGAAAAATGACTTAAAAGACCATGAAATCCACAAGATGCAATAGTCACCGTGGCTATATTTAAAGGGCATAACCATCATCATTTAAATTGCACTACTGCAAAAAATGTAGTCAATGTATGAGTTATACTCTTTCAAAACCTTGTATTTTCAAGGTGGAAATGTAAAGTCCAAAAAATCTAAAATCATTTTACTATTTTTTCTTTTGATATATGAATGCCACGGCCTAGTTATATAGTAACATAAAATGTTTCACAAACGAAAATCTTGAGTCCTTGAAGCTCAACCTTTCACATATCTCTCTTTTTTCTCTTCATCAAAAATAAAAAAACAACTTGAATTAGTACTTTAGTAACAGTGCTTATCTAAGGCTTCAATTGCTACAATATACCGTTTGTTCTTAATTGCATAGTTGCAAAGTTACATAGGTTGAAAAGAGACATTAATCCATCAAGTTCAGCCTTTTTAACATCCATTTTTGCTGTTGAGCCCAAAGTAGGAAAAAAATCCCTGTCCTGTTTATTAATAGACTTCCAGACAATGGTTTGTATTGGCACCAAATATATTTTAACCCCTTAACGACGAGTGACGGACAAGGTCCGT